TGTTTAATGAACTAATCTTTTGGGGGGCATTTGTGATAGTTTTAGGTCGCAGATTCCACCTGCTACCACTAGGGAGAGCAGGAGCAGAGTTTTTGGTCCCAGCGTGTCTGCTGGAAGTTGTGTGGGTACTGTGGACACTTGCACGGGAGCACACCTGGAGAACGTTCAGGCACTTGTGTGGACTGTGCTTGGTGGGCAGGGCTTCTCATGTGGACCCAGTCAGGGCAACTCCTTGGGGCCACAGGGGCACAATGGGCTCCCCCCGCCTCATCGGGAGAGCAATGTCATCAGGCTAAGGGCTGCTGCTCTCTCTTCCCACAGTTGCCCTGGGACATGTTCTGTACCCACTTGTGGGATACTCGTGTCAGGCTGGAAAGTGACCCAGTGTGTGCACAGAGATGTGGGGGAGGATAGGGAGTGCTCACCTATCTCCACCACTTCCCGAGAGTCAGGCCATCTACCCTCAGATGTATAGCTGCATGCGTCTCTCAGGTGTCCTGTGGTGCTGTGTAGGCTTCCTCTGTTGGTCTGTGAATGTCCATCTAGTTGTAGTTCAAAAGGGGGAGAGACAAAGGGAACAGCTCACTCCACCATGTTGCTGACGTCCTATTTTTAGTTTTTTGCGAAATTCCATACTGTTTTCCACAGTGGCTACACCAGTTTGCATTCCCACTAGCAGTGCATGAGGGTTTCCTTTTCTCCATATCCTCTCCAACATGTGTTACTTCTTGTCTTTTTATTTTTTATTTTTTTCTTTTCCAATTATTTTGTATTTGTTCATCTTCTCAATGCCAAATATTTCTGTAAATTTTGTATCTTTTCTTTTTTTTAAAAAATTTTTTGTTTATTGCAGTAACATTGGTTTATAACATTGTATAAATAGGCATTCTGACAGGTGTCAGGTGATATCTTATTGTAGTTTTCATTTCCATTTCCCTAATAAGTAGTGATGGTGAACATCTTTTCATGTGCCTGTTGGCCATCTGTATATCTTCTTTGGGAAAATATCTGTTCATATCCTTTGCCCATTTTTTGATCAGGTTGTTCTTTTTTTTGTTGTTGAGTCATATGAGTTCCATGTATAATTTGGATATTAACCTCTTATGGAATGTAGGATTTGCAGATATTTTTTCCAAGTTGGTAGGTTGTCATTTTGTTTTGTTCATGGTTTCCTTTGCTGTGCAGAAACGTTTTAGTTTCATGTAGTCCCATTTGTTTATTTTTTTCTTTTGTTTCCCTTGTCTGAGGAGACATGGTATTCAAAAAGTTTCTGCTAAGACTGATGTCAAAGAGCACACTGCCTATGTTTTTTTCTAGGAGTTTTATGGTTTCAGGTCTTGCATTCAGTCTTTAATCCATTTTGAGTTAATTTTTGTGTATGACGTAAGATAATAGTCTACTTTCAGTCTTTGGCATGTGACTATGCAGTCTTCCCAACACTATTTATTGAAGAGACTTTCTTTTCTCTATTGTATGTTCTGTCTCCTTTATCAAAAATTAGCTATCCATAGATGTGCAAGTTTATTCCTGGGCTCTTGATACTGTTCCATTGATCTGTGTGTGTGTTTTTCTGCCAGTAGTTTGATTTTGTTTTGATTACTAGAGATTTGTAGTATGTTTTGAAATCAGGGAGTGTGATATCTCCAGCTTTGATCTTTTTCTCAGGATTCCTTTGGCTATTCAGGGTCTTTTGTTGTTCCATATAAATTTTAGGATTCTTTGTTCTATTTCTGTGAAAAACATCATTGGGATTCTGATTGGGATTGCGTTGAATCTGTAGATGGCTTTAGATAATATGGACATTTTAACTATGTTTGTTCTGCCAATCCATGAGCACAGAATATCTTTCCATTCTTTATATCTTCTTTGATTTCCTTCAATAATGTCTTATAGTTTTGGGTGTATAGGTATTTCACCTTGTTGGTTAAATTTAGTCATAGGTATTTTGTTCTTTTAGTTGTGATTGTAAGTGGCATTGTATTCTTGATTTCTATTTCTCTTAGTTTGTCATTAGTTATTAGTGTATAGAAATATGCCTGATTTTTTATATTGATTTTGTACCCTGCCACTTTACTGTATTCATGAATTATTTGTAGTAGTATTTTGGTGGATTCTTTAGGAGTTTCTAAATATAAAATCATGTCATCCCCAACGAGTGATAGTTTTACTTCTTCCTTTCCAATGTGTATGCCTTTTATTTCTTTTTCTTGCCTAATTGCTCTGGCTAGGACTTCCAATACTCTGTTGAATATGAGTGGCAAGAGTGTGCATCCTTGTTTTGTTCCTGTTATTAGAGGAATAGCTTTCAGTTTTTCACTCTTGAGTTTCTTGACTGATAGTTTTTGTCTTTCCATATTTTGAATATGTCATTCAACTCTCCTAGCCTTTAGACTTTCTGCTGAGAAATTCACTGATAGCCTGAAGGGGGTTCCTTTTTAAGTTATTTTCTTCTCTCTGGCTTCCCTTAATATTCTTTCTTTGTCAGTGACTCTTGACAATTTTAATATAACAAGGTCTTTTTGTGTTGAGATAATTAGGAGTTCTATTAGCTTCGTGTACTTGTATATCCAGTTTCTTCCCCAGTACTCAGCTGTTATTTCTTTGAAAAGCTCTCAGTTCCTTTCTCCCTCTCTTCTCCTTCTGGGATACCTATTATCCTTGTGTTGCTTTTCCTAATTAAGTCAGATAATTCTCCTAGAATATCTTCAATTTTTTAAAAGCTTGGTTCTCTCTCCTCTTCCACCTGAATCATTTCTGTATTTCTCTCTTCGAGCTCACTAATTCCCTTTCATATGGTCTGCTCTATTTCTAATGCTTTCTACTTTATTGTTCATCCCATTGTGTTCATCTCCAGATTCTGTTTGGTTTTCTTTTTTAGAGTTTGAATCTCTTTGGTGAAGTACTCCGTCTGTTCACTATTTTATTTGTTTCTTTCTAAGTTCTCTTATAGCTCATTCAGTTTCTTCATGACAGCTATTTTTAAATCTCAGATTGCAATCGTCTGTGACTTCAGGTTGCGTTTCTGGAGAGTTGTCATTCTCTTTCTGTTCTGCCGTGTTACTTTATTTCTTTATGGTATTTGATGAGTTGATCCTCTGCTGGCGCATTTGTGGTAGTAACCACCTTTCTTTTGAGGGTACAGCTCTGGATACTTTGATTCTGAGCTGCTTGTGTTTGTATTCGAGAGCCTGCACTTTTCACCCTCCACTGCCTCTGCTAGACATGTTGTCAGTGCCCTTGTGCTGGTTGTGCCTCTGAGGTTCCTTGTGCCTTGCTGCTTATGATGTCCCTGTGAGTTCAGGCGTCACCACCCGGGTTACCAGGTTGCAAGCACCTCTACTCCTTCTGGGGTTGCCTGGGTCATGTGGTTACCCACTGGCTTTCTGTGGGCTCTCTTCCAGTTCAGGTGCCGCTCCCAGATGCGCCACCTGTGCTGCTGTTCCCAGGTTATCTGGGGGTGCTGGCAGCACCATTCCCGCAGTCATTTGGTTCATGAGTGCCTCTGCCATTGCCAGGGGCCCAAGGTTTTGCCAGCCCCCACTGCTGGTAGAGCAGGTTTTGGGAGTGCTGCTACTGGGGGCTGGGTCATGGGTTCTGCTGTGGCTCTTGAAGCCTCAGGTCATAGGTGCCACTTGCCACTGCTGACGGCGGGGTAAGGACTGAGGTTTGAGCACCACTTCTGCTCCTGCAGCCTCTGGTGTCCAGTTCCCGTGTGCATTTTGAAACCTCCAGTCAGGGCATGACTGCCCTTGCTGAATTATCTGCAGTTTGGGTGCAGCCCTTGCTGTTGTAAAGACCAGGCCTAACTTGCGATTGCCTGTGGAGGGTGGAGAGGGCTGAGCCACTGGCACCACTGTGTTTCCTGAAGCTGCAGGTCGTGGGTGCCACCTTCCGCTGCTGGAAGTGGACATGGGCTAAGCCATGAGCGCCATGTCTGCTCCTGCAGCCTCTGGTTCCTGGTGCATGCTGGTGCACTTTTTCAAACCTTAGGTCAGGGCACCATGACACTGCTGGGGGTGTTGGCATTTTGGATCACTGCCACTGCGGGGAGGAGGCTGCTTTTCTAGTTCCAGTTCCTCTCAGAGGTCCAATCCACCCACCTTCAGGTGTATAAGTATAGGGATCTCTCATGCATTCTGGTGTGCTGTGCTGGTAGTCCTTTGTTGGTCAATGGGTGTCCTACTGGTTGTAACTTAGACAGGAGAAAAAAAATGAACAAGTTACTCTGCCATGATTCTGATATGACACTGAAATGGAGCTTCTAAGACTTCACTCCCGGGGAGGCTGATTTGGAAGGAATATGGAAGGAATTTGAAAGAATTAGAGATCCTTCCTCTTTTTCTACCTTTTCTTCCTCCTGATTCTTAGAAAGGTTTCTGTGACAGGCCTGTAGCTAAACATCACCAAGTTCTTCCTTCCCTGGATGTCTTGTCTGGAGAGATTAGGTGGCCAGGGGACCAAGTTCAGAGAGCGAAGCCAGGGAAAATGTAAATGTGGTCATGGTGTCTCTGATTCTACACAGTTTTTGTATACCAAATGCCTCTACTACAGTGGGAAAACCTCTGAGAGGGCTTTTACTTATTTAGTTTGTTAATTCATTAATATTTTTTGCATCAGCCACTTAGAAGGCTATCAGGGGACTTCAAATTTGACTACTTTCTTCAATTTAATTAATCAAAATTTTCTTTTGAAATCTAGGCTCTATGTCCAAACCAGACTTACAGAGAAATATATACCAATAGAGCTGATGATTTATGTACATCTTGCTAGAAAATAGTGTGTGTAAGTACTCAGCTACCAGAAACCCAGTAAAAAGTGTAACATCTGGAGTTGCCATGTTGATTTGGTATTCCAATGTGGTTCTTATCACTCAAGGCTGATTTTCTAAATGTTGTTTGAAATTGTTGGCTTTGGCTGGGATAGGTCACCGTTCCAGTTTTTCAGACAGAGGAGAAGGATTCTGAGACTTGAGCATGTTTTAACAGCAGGTTCTGTTTCAGGCAAGAAGACATCCCGTCATCCCTTGCACCAGGATCTGCACTATTTCCCCTTCAGGCCCAGCAATAACATTGTTTGCGCTTGGACGGCCATGGAGCACATCGACCAGAGCAATGGCTGTCTGGTTGTGCTCCCAGGCACACACAAAGGTTCCCTGAAGCCTCACGATTATCCCCAATGGGAGGTAGGTTGGCCCAGGGCTGGGTCTTGATCAGAATCTTCCTTCATGTTTTGATTTCACATCAGTATACACAAAGAGCTTTACCAATATAATGGCATTTCCTTTCTTAGCAAAATATTGCTCTAGGATTTCCAATTAGGAACAGGGAAAATTCAAGGATGTCAGATAAAATTATCATCTTTGTTCTTTCAACAAGTGTTTGAAAGCCAACCAATGTGGGGAACTTTGGTAGGTGTTGTGTAGGATCTGAGATTATAAAGCCTAATTGCAGAGTTAAGACAGAAACACTGCCACACCAGATGTGTGTGACAAGTGCCAAGTAAGTCTTACATCTGAAAGCTGGCTCTCAGAGTAGGGAAAGGGGAGGATTTGTCTCCTTCCAGCCTGAGAGACCAGTGGAGGCTCTGTGGAGTGCTCATATTTAAGCCAAACCTTGAGGGACAGAGTAGCATGTTCTCTACCAAAGTGGCTATGGGGAGCACTGGGGTCAAGTTCGTGTATGGACCTGGCTGTGGGGTGGGAGGGACCAAGGGAGCTCATAGCCTAGATGGGCTGGGTGTGCATTTGGGGAGCAGCAGTGGAGATGAGCCTGAAAGGTGCATTAGAACCAGATCAGAAAGAACCTTGCTTGTTTTGTTAATGACTCTTCACTTCATTTGGGGGGACTGGAAAACTTCATTTTTTTGAAAGCTGGAAGAGTTTTTTTAAACAGTTTTATTTAGGTATAATTGACATATAATAAACTGTACATGTTTTGATTGTACACTTTGGTAATTTTTCACACACACACACACACACACACACATATATACATATACACCTGTGAAACCACACCACAATCAAGATAATCCCTTCCTCCTCTCCCTCCCTTCCCCCAAGCAAACACTGATCTGCCTTCGGTTACTGTGGCTTAGTTTGCATTTCTATAATGTTATATAAATATAATCATATCATATATATTCTTTTTATTAAATATGGCTTCTTTCACTCACCATATTTCTTTTGAGATTCATCCATGCTGTTCCATGTATCCATCACTCATTCCTTTCAATGTTGAGTTTCATTGCATGCTGATCGATGGTTTATCGATTTAGCTCTTGATGCTAGAGGACTATTAAATGCTTTTGACCCCGTGAGGGGTGAGATCAAAGTGGCATTTCAAGAAAGATAATCTTGGGGTCTGGGCAGGATATGCTAGAGGTGTAGGAGTCCAGAGACAGAGAAACCAGAGAGGAGATTATTAGCATTTTAGGCATAAGACAATAAGGTCCTGAAACCCCATAATGATGGTCAGAATGGGAAAAGCAGGTGTTGTTAAGGCAGGAAGTTTGAGTTGTGGTTCTATAGGGAGAAAAGGCTATGGCTTTAAGGACGACTTTGTCAGTTGGTTAGAATTCTTGCACTGACGATTAGTGTTAAGTGAAAACATTGAGTTTGAATTTTGTTATAAAGTCTGAAATTGTGAGATTCATCAATTTAGTTGGGGCAGAAGTGGGCTCCAGCTGATTTAAATCAATGGAGTGTTTTGAGGGCGGCAGGGACATACTGAATCCGTGAAAAGGCTGGCTAGCTCTGGTGGGCAGGAAACGGGGGTTTTTGCTTGGCAGGAACAGTGAGGGTAGGGCACCTGGCCTGGGCAATTGAACCCTGACCACGTCTGGTCTCTTTGATCCTCTGCTCAGATTCAGAGAGGCTGCAGTGGGAGGTCAGATTGGCTTATCTCGGGTCACCCATCCACCCTGGCCGTGAGAGAAGCGCACTGGATCAAAATGCCAACTCAGTCAAGTAGGGAAGGAGTCATTCCCCAAAGGAATTTGAGATACTCTCAGGAAGGGGAATGGGATGCTGCCGCCCTGAAATGACAACCCCCTCATAAAGGCTTGTAAACTTTACATCATTTCTTGCTTTCATGCACTTCATTCTCATGACATTTTCAAGGAGTGATATACAGTTCTTGCAGATATCTTGGAATGTTATTTACACTCAGTACTATTTTGATATCATGGTGGTTATTACACCCACAATCAGGTCATGTTATTTAATTTGTTAATAAACAAACATATGCATTACTATATCAAAAATTCGATAGCAGTGTTTATAATTCATTCCAATTCTTTTCTTTGGAAATCCTGTATGCTTTACTTTAACAGTTTAAAAACATTCTGTGAATGGGTTCTTAGGCTTCAACTATGGCAATAAAATATCAAGAATCTCTGTTCTAGTTTATTTTTTGAAAGTTTATATGAATGTATCATAAGCATATAGTATTATCTTGGGTGTTTAAGAAGTTTAAGTAAATGATCTATACGTACTAGTCTATGACTTGCTTTCGGAGTCTTTCCGTGTTGATGTACAAAGATCCAATGTATTTACATAGAGTATCCCATAATATTAATTTATTTATTCATTCTTGGAATAATGGACATTTAAGTTGTTTCAGTCTTTTTTTTATTCCAAAATGTGCAATGAACACCCTGAACATCTATTCTTATGTAAATATCCAAGAATTTTCTTTAGAGTATAGTGGTATCTTTTCCTTTTAACTTTTAAAAAATGAGACATAACTGAAATAAAGACATAAGCTATTACCTAAAGCATTAACTAACTTTGGAAATAGTCAGAAAGAAGCACAATGTTTGAATTTACTGCACTTCTTTTTTTACTCTAGACATGACATCAGTGGTTTATGAGCTCAGAAATATTGAGCATTTTCTCTCCCTTAGTTTGGGAAAATAGTTCGTTTTCCAGAGATACTCCTGAGTAATAGAAGAATGATTTATGCAAAGTTCCAGGTGAGGGGAATCGCATGTTGGGAAAGAATGATTATGGATTCAGGCTGGGAAGGTGGTCTCCTGTGTTGACTGCAAAATGCAAAGCTGATCTAGATCTTCATTTATAATTCAGTAATGAAGGGTAGGTAGAAATTCCAAACTGTTCATTTGGTCCCAGAAATCCATGATTTTAATATCAACATGTGACTTTGTAAAAAAAAGACATTGGAGAGGCTTTTCTATACAAGCACACCTCGGAGATATTGCGCATTTGGTTCCAGACCACCTCTATACAGCAAATATCACATTAAGCAAGTCACATGAATTCTTTGGTTTCCCAGTACATATAAAAGTTATGGTTACACTATACTGTAGTCCATTAAGTATGCAATAGCATTATGTCTAAAAAAAATGTACATACCTTAATTAAAAATATTTATTGCTAAAATATTCTAACCATCGTCTGAGCCTTCAGCGAGTTGTACTCTCCTTGCTGGTGGAGAGTCTTGTAAAAATATTCAATATGTGCAAAGCACAGTAAAGCGAAGTACAGTAAAACAAGGTATGCCCGTATTTGAATTTTTTATAAGAATCTAGTTTATCTCTTTCTCTTGGAAGAACTTAGGGAAACTGTGCTTTTCCTGATGAGTCACTGATAAAGCTTTTAATTATTGGCTTCCTCAAACACAGATGTGGCCTCTCTTATGTGTTCTAGGGGGGAGTTAACATAATGTTCCATGGAATCCAGGACTATGATGAAAACAATGCCCGGGTTCACCTCGTGATGGAGAAGGGAGACACTGTGTTCTTTCATCCTTTGCTCATCCATGGATCTGGTCGGAATAAAACTCAAGGATTCCGGAAGGTATGCATTAACGTTGTTACCAAGCACGGGCCCACTGCCACACAAGCATAGAAGCCAATACTATGGCACCAGCTTTAGAGAAAAGAAAAGGCTTTGTTGCAAGGTTGGCCAGAAAGGAGGCAAGTCTCTCGACTTTTACTCTCCAATTCAAGGTTTGAGATGAAATTTAAGGAGTTACAGGCTACTAAGCTACATCTGGGTCCATGAAGCTGATTGGCTAGTCTTGCATCAGTGTATATATGGTAATCAAGCTACCTGGGCTTTTGGAAGCTGGATCTTCCTTACTGAAGGAAGAATCTTGGTTCCGGGGTCATCCTGGTGTTATCCCACCTGACACATGCACAGTGTTGTCTCTGGTATTGAGCAAAGTTTAATTAATCAATAACCCGTTTTAAGGAGGTAAAACTAGTTTAAGCTGGTCAGTTTTTTATGTGCTGTTTCAATTCCCCCAATTTTTTTTGTACTTTCCTCAGTCTGGAGGGATTTAGGGCGATGACTGCACTTGCTACTTCCTGCTGATTGGGGAAGGCTCAAAGTTTCTTTCTGAGTCTTTTGTTGCCTATATTATGTAAGCAAGCAATCAGATATTTAATAAGAAGTTTATCTATGGAAACAAAAAGAAAAACAAAGTTAATGTTTGGAGCAAATTATAAACCAGTTTGTGAGCCCAGGGGACAGCCAGTCAAGAGGATTTCTGGATGTCAGGGTTGAAGCATCTTTTGCAGTGTGAAGTGTCTCTGATGATGTCATCATGTGTTCGGGTAAACTTTTTGAGTGGCTTTTATAGCAACAGGCATGAAAATTGTTTAAACATGGGTTATCGTGGTGATCTCTCTTAAGTTTATATCAAGTTGTCAACCTTCAGTTTTTAGGGCTTCAGGGAAAAGGGTGGTTTCAGTTCTCAGTGATTCCAAATGAAAAGGATGGAAAAAACTGAAAATGTTAGTTTGGAGATTTGTTGTTGGGTATTTCAGGAAACTAGAAGAATCCAGGATTCAGTCCAGTTTACAGGGAGAAATCATTTAAGGCCAATGTTTCCTTATTGATCTTCTGTTTGGATGATCTATCCGTTGGTGTAAGTGGAGTGTTAAAGTCCCCTACTATTATTATGTTACTGTCTATTTCTGTTTTTATGTCTGTTAATAATTGCTTTATATATTTAGGTGCACCGACATTGGGTGCGTAGATATTTACAAGTGTTATATCCTCTTGTTGGATTGTTCCCTTGATCATTATGTAATGCCCTTCGTTGTCTCTTTTTACCGTTTTTGTGTTAAAGTCTATTTTGTCTGATATGAGTACTGCTACCCCAGCTTTCTTTTCATTGCCATTTGCGTGGAGTATCTTTTTCCATCCCTTCACTTTCAGTTT